TTTTTTTTTTTTTTTTTTTTTTTTTTTTTTTTTTTTTAATTTTTTTATTTCTCTGCAAATGTCTTGATGTTCTATGTTTAAGTTGTATAAATTTGTTAGGAAAATGAATGAGAATTAAGCATGTTCACCTTTTTTTTCTATTTTGTTTTATTGAATGTTATGAATTTGCTTTCGGATCGAAGTTTGTTTATTTTCATTTTTTTTTTTTCTGGAAATTAAGTTTGGCCGAATATAAGCTCTAAATTGCCCTTTATTTTTTGCTTAGTTTGATCCGTTTTTAACCATTCGGACGATCGGGTTATATTTGTAGGTAGGGCTGACTCGACTCGTTTAGGTTTGAAGTTATGGACTAAAATATACTTCAAATTTTTTTTTTTTTTTTATGAATCAAAAGTGTTATTAATAAAAGAGTACAAGAGGTACTACCTATACATTACATTAAAAGTTCAATAAGTTAAAAATCAATTGCACAATGGAGTGGGAATTGACACCAGTCCACGAAATTGAACTTAGCACATGTAGAGTTTCCTTTGATCCAGCAGAAAGTTCTAGATTGAATTAAGTCAATCAATCTGTTTTCATTCCAAGGCTGTTTTTCAAAAATAATACCATTTCTGCTTACCCAAATGGACCAAGCAGCTGTTGAGATTGTGAGGTTCCAGCTCCTTCTTGCTTTCTTGGGGACCTGCAGCGAACTAAGCTGGTGGAGCATGGCAAAGGCATTATCTGGGGGAACAAAAAGGAAACCCCACCAGTGACATATTTTGCTCCATAGTTTTTGAGATTGTCTGCATTTGGCAAAGATGTGATTTGCGTCCTCTGGATGATCACCACAGAACACGCAGTTTGGATTGTTTGTTAAATTTACTCCTGGAAGACATAGGTTGTCTTTAGTTGGAAGGCGGTTTAGGAAGAGGCGCCAAATCATGAAGCTAACTTTAGAGGGCACCAACGGGTTCCAAATCAAGCTGCAAATACTGCCTTGAAGACAAGTGGTGGGGTTTTCAAGAATTTGGTAGGCTGATTTTGCTGAGTATCCTGATGGGCAGTGTATCCAATTGAAGTTATCTGGCTTGGTGTCATGGATGTTAATAGGCTTTAGAGTGTCCTCTAATCTCTTGTATTCGTCCAGCTCTCTCCCAAATGGTTCATGACGCCAATTGAAATGCCATCCTTGACCTTTAGATGGTTTGAGGTCAGCAACTGACATTTCTTTATCGAGGGAAAGGTTGTATAATCGTGGAAATTCCAGTTTGAAGGAGGAGCTGCCCAACCACACGTCAGACCAGAAATTGGTTTTTGCTCCATCACTGATCTGTCTGGGGAATCCATCAATGAAGCATGTTTTTGCTTTTTCATTTTCCCTGCCAATAGAAAGAATATCTCTCCAAATGGTAGACATTTTAGGGGTTATACAGCTGGTGATAGAAGTATTATTATTTCCCTCATAATATTTGCAGACAAAATTGATAATGCGTGTTGGCTGGTCCAACAAATTAAATAAAGAGAAATGATTTGGGGTAATTTTTTTTTAATATAATTTGATATGTTATTTAAATAATTGATTTATTTTATATAGATGAGATTTATAATATTAAATGTATTCATTCATTTAATAATATATAAAAGTTGTATTAAAAAGTGATATAAAAATATTGTCCTTATATCATCGTACTAATAACATGTCTTTAAATAAAAATATGATCAAATAATTAAACCTTAATAATTGATAATTGATTTAAAGTGTGATTAATTAGTTAATTAATCTTAATTTAAATTAATTGATAAATTAGTTAGCCTTAGTTAAGGAAGTTATATTAGTTTGGTTATTCTAATGAAAGGTTAATTAAAGTGATTAATTATTTTAATTAATTTTAATTAATTCATGTTTAATTATTTAATTAAATCAATTATTTTGATTAATTAGTCTTAATTTTGTCAGTCTTGGTCAAAATTTAAAAAGTCAAACTTGTCTTTTATTTAATTCTAATTTTTCATAAAAGCTTTCTGAGATAAAGCAATTTAATCCAGAAATTTTGATTTGTTCCAAATTCGTCCTCTAAGTTTTGAATTTCCTCAAGTTAATCCCTCAACTTTTAATTTGTTGTGATTGTGGTATTTCTTTTTTTATTTGTTCAATTGAGTGTAAAGGTTTCTTAAATATTACAATTTTATCTACTTACTTTTCAAGTTTACTTAATTAAGACCTAAGGAATAAAAAGTTGAATAAAGTTCCCAAGGTTAAAGGATACAATTGTATTTTACACAAAAAATTGTGAAATATATGTACTTATGTCATTTTTCACTTCAAACTATACCCTCGGATTCTAATCTCTGCACATACCTATTTTATGTGATTTATCTTATCTTATAATTTGGATAAGTGACAATTTAAATTTCCTTTATTTTTCACACTTCATAACTTTTTTAAGTGGTCATCAACACCCAATCTATGTGACCTCATGCCATTTGTTCTTTTTCTTTGCTTAGTCCCACTTTTTCACATAAATACTAACATAGATTAAAAGACTCCTTGAGCAGTAAAAATCCCACCAAAATGGTAAACGTAGCCTAAGAACACAACATAGAAAAAAAAGGGGACCATGTGGGTAATTTTGGTGGGATTTTTACTATTCAATGGTTCTTTTGATCCATGTGGAAAAGTGAGACCAAATGAAGGAAAAAAAATAGACACATGAGATCACATGTGTTGCATTATTAATAATAAGGACTTATTCACATCTTTTAGGAGGTTTGAGAGCTAATTTGCATCATTTGAGCGTTTTAAAGGTTTATTTGCACTGTTTTTAGTTCAAGAACTCATATGTTAATTTAGGACATGTCTAAGGGTTTAAGAAGGGGTTTTGCCTCAATAAAAAGTAGTAATTGATGTTTATGTCTTCGTAAAATCTTCTTGTATGCCTTTAAAGGGGAAAGTTAATTTGGAAATTTCTTGATTTAGTGATTTTGTTACTCATTTTTACTTAAAGGTTAAAACCTCTTTTTGGTCCTTCTACTTTAACCCAAAAAAAAAAAAAAGAATTTAGTCCCTCCGTTATTTTTTTGATAAATGTCATGTTATATAATGAAAATTTCAAATTAAATAGACAAAAAATGAGTTTTAAAAAAAATAAAGAGAAAAAAATAGGACTTTTTTCTAAATAAAAGGACAAAAAAGGACATTTTCTTAGTTCTTCTACTTTAGAATTTTTGTTATTTAATGTGTCATATGTGCAAAAAGAAATGAGGAGACTAAAAGGGAGTCAAATTTTAAACTTTAGGGAAAAAATGAATTTTTTAAAGTAAAGGGACTAAAAAGAGATTTTTTTTGTTAAAGTAGAGAGACTAAAATAAGATTTTAACCTTTCTTAAAATAAGATTTTAACTTTTCTTAAAATAATTGTCAATTTTTTACCTTTTTTTTTAAATTAAGTATTTGACGACAATATTTATATCTATTTACATGACAATAATTGGTATAACCTCTGGTTCAATGAATTACATAATATAATTTTCAAAAAATTATTATTTCTTGTTATGAAATTAAAGATGGATAAATTTAAAAATATGATAATGTACACATGATGCATGAATTGATTACATCAGCTATATTTGTATTGTATTTTTACTATTTAAACTGAATAAGTGTTAAAAAATGTATTAAATTTATTATATACCAATTATTTTTCTAATCTATAATACCCTTAAAAAAGAAATAAAAAATAAAAAAAAATTTGTGATTAAATGATTAATTAAAAAGAATAGATAATGATAAGGCCAAAACAAGAAAAAAATATATTTATACACTTTGAAAAATAAAAAAATGACAATTAATCTAAAATAAATTTAAAATAAAAAATAATTATTATTTTGAGGTAAAGAAAGTAAATTTTCCTTTGTCACTTTCTTACTCACCAAAATCCAAATGGAGAACCAGAAATTAATTCCGCGCTATCTACACACATAACCAATCTGTGCAATCATTGTCCTATAAGTTTTAAAGTCACACTTTTTCGTGCAAAACTTTTTGAAATAATAATTGATAATTCGTTAATAATTTAAGTAATTTAGTAATTATATTTTTTTGTTAGAAGTAAAAGATTTTAAATTTAAGTCGTATGAGATGTGATGGAGTAAAATAAAGTATGAAAGATAGTTACCTATCTATTGTGTAACAAAAATAAAAAAAATAATTGATAATCCCTCTAGTTGAATATTTTGTATAATATAATTATTAAAAATTATTATTATTTATTTAAAAATAAAAATAAATAAATTTAAAAATATAATTATACACATAATATATAAAAATTAATTAAATTAATTATATTTATATTATTTTTTTATAATTAAATTAAACTTATGTCGAAAAGTAAATAAAACAACAATTTTCAACCTTTGGAGCACCTTCTTAGCAAAAACACGTTTTTTTAATCCAATTTGGGCAAGTCAAATTGACGAGAAAAAATAATACAGGTTGTGTTCTTATATAAAAGCAAGTCAAATTTGTGCACTAGATTTGAAAATGAAAAACACGTTTGAAACTTTTTTTTTTTTTTCAACAATAAAAATTAATTAAGGAAGTGTAAGTATCTGATTGTAGAAGGAGACAACTGAATTTTTTAAGTAGATGCAATTCACCTACAACTTTAGAACAACGTGCCACCACTGACACCACTGGTTCACGCGAGGGTGTACGAAACTTTGAATCCTAATACATGTACCTCGTACGCCTAGTCCCTTCCCATTGAAATTAATTGACAGCTACAGGGCGTGGTCTGCTATGGAGCAATTTTAATTTTTTATGAATTTATCCGTCCAACTAACTTTTTTTTAAAACTTGGATTTACATAATAAAAAATAAAGTTTTTATTTTTTAATTTAACTTATTTATATATCATATTATTTAAATTTAAAATTTTTTATTTATATAATTATTAAATTATTTAAATTGTTCGCATTCACCTAACCAACTTAATTATGATAAATTGAGTTAAAACTATTACTATTTAATTTATTTTCTGCCGTCCAACGTGTTAGAGTAGAATAAGGTTATTTACCGACCAAATATCTTGCCCCTATTTAATTCCTTCCATAAGTGAAATTGCGGTAAGAATAATTAACGTTAATAAAGAGAAGAAAGTTCGAAAGGTGTGCACAAGCCGGCGGAGCGGAAGACACCGTAACCAATTAAATCAAACTATAATTTATAAAAATAAAAATAAAAAAATAAATGGAATTCTCATTATTGTGGACCTTGAGCTTTGAACAGTATGTGGTTGTGACTTGTGAGAAGATTCGTCGGAACTCATATAATATGTGGCTGTGAGAAGATTTATCGGAACTAATACAATATGTGGCTGTGAGAAGATTTGTCAGAACTCATACAATATGTGGTCGGAACTCATATAATATGTGGCTGTGAGAAGATTTGTCGGAACTCATACAATATGTGGCTGTGAGAAGATTAGTTCGAACACAGAACACAAGAGGTTCACGTGAATTAAAAGCAAGGAGAGGAGCTGTGCTTTTCAGTACCCGAATTTGGTAGCCTACATGAACGATGAACCCACGAGATTGTGCTGCTGCAATTAGAAGTTTGATTTTTGAATGGCTTACGGAAACGTAGCGCCACAAATGCCTTCGTTTGGGAGCGTCGCTCACGGCACTTTTTTTCACAGCAAATTATCAAAAATTGTAATTTTATTGTATGTAAATAACTGATTTTAATTAATACTTTTATATTTTAAGTAATCTCAATTAATATTTTATAAATATTTTGAACTAAAAAATCTAAAACAATAGCACAGCTTAGCATACATAGTAGTCGCAAACAAAATTTTAATAATATATATAGATGGAGAGAAATAACAGAAAATTTTTGTTTGATAAATCAAATTATAATACATTAAATTGGTTAATTTTTTTTCCTTTTTTTTTATTTTAACTTAAACGTATAATAAATAATGAGTCAGTTACCTAAAAATTAGACACTTTAATTTAAAAATCTCATTTCAAAATTGAGTCGAGGGTGAAGAGATTGGAAAGGAAAAAAGAGAACTATATATACCGTATGTATTTTATATAGCCCATAATTAGTGTAAAAAAAACCCGAGTTAATTTATTCATGTTTATTAATTGCTTTAGAGTTGGTTCTGCGCTTTTTTGAGGTGTCAGCATATTAAAACTTTTTTTGGATTCGAGTCCTTCTCGAACTTGACCTAATAAAATTTGGTGTTCTAGGCTGACCAAAAGAAGAAAAAAAAAAAGATTGATAGGTATGGAGTTTAATATAATCTTTTATATTCATTTTAATTTAATTGTTCAAATATTATGTTAATATAATTAATTTAGTTATTTCTTATATTTATTGTATAATTGTATTTTAAAATTTATTTATTTTTAATTTAATATTAAAAAATCATAATTTTTAATAAATATATTGTATAGTAATTCAATTGAAATGTGTATTAACTAATTTCTAAAGGAAAAAGAATAGACGCATGATTGTTGTATTATTGTCTTATTATATTCTAACTATTTGTTAGTT